TAGTTAAAAAAAAAAACCCTACCATTTCATATGAATCTCTTTTCAAATAATGTGCTCAGGGATCTGCCAGAGTGCTTTACCTTTTTATACTTTTTAGTTAATACTGGGGATGTTGGGATTTAATAATTTTCATGGATGTGGGAAATGTATTGACAATTCTCGAGCACTGGTTCTCAGTCGTGGGAACTCATTGGAATTGCTTTGAAATAGCTTAGGCCCCAGACCATATCCCAAACCAGTAAAACCAGATGTTCTAGGGGTGGTGCCCAGACAACACTGCCGAATTCCCTTTCTCCCCTTCTTTGATGGGAGTGAACGTTGAGAACCAGTAGACATTTTGTAAATACAGTTTTATTGGAACACAGCCATAGCCATTTGTTTACCAGTTGGCTAGAGACCTCATGACATGCAAAATGTAAAATATTGTACTGTTTGGTCATTTACCAGAAAAGGATTGCTGATCCCTACACTAGACTCACAGTTTGAGTGTTTTTCAAGTATATTAAAAAAAATAATTTGTAGCAATTTCATAGTAAAAGGGGAAAAAATCTGGCATCTTGCAGAATATGCAGGTTCGAATCCTTTGTTTTCTTATATGTGTGAAAAAATACATTCTCAGTGAACTAACTTGAAGATGTCAAATTGGAAGGAGATACGACACACTATTACAGGAGCTCCTTGGTTTTTGAAAGTTTGCGTTACTGTCACTGCTTTCACAAAAGACCTATGTTAACTTCTCTAAGAATTACTACTTCTGCATTACTGCCTGTATAGAGAGGATTCCACGCTTAGGAGAAAGGAGAAAAGCAAGAATAGCAGAGGCGAGTTTTGTAGCAGCTCTTCTAGACGCTCCTTCCCCAGAGCTGCTCCCCAGCGACCTGGGTAGTTACCGTACCTCTCCTGCTGTGACTGTATGTGACAGTGATTTTTGTAAAATGTTTTATATGCTGTTTGGTAGGTTATTTCGGGGTGTCTGAGAAAGATTAAATTTTCCCCCCTGTAAATGAGTTGTAGTTTCTCTTTGTCTTTAGTAAAGATGTCATAGAAATTCTACTTCCAAATTGCGGAGAAATCTGTATTTATACCATAGCATTTTCTCCTTAAAAGTTGCTACTTGTGGTTTAGTGTTCATTACTTTACATTGTCTAATTGACTTGGGGAAGTCTGTAAAGGCAGAAATGGTTCTTTAAACAGAAAGTTTGAGGTTATTACCATGGCAGTAGACCCCTGAAAAAAACCTTTTAGCTCTGAGAAATCTTACATACACATAAAGAGAAAAATAATGAAAAACTAAACATGCTATTCATATTATTTCCACCCTCCCTCAGTACAGGTGGAACTAGGTAGATAAATGATTGGGAGTTTCGTGGAAGATCCCTTCTGGGCTTGGGCGCTCTGCTAAAGACACTTAAGCCTGCACAATCAGCTGTCTCCTGGAGCTTGTCAGACTCTGAGACCCCCACCCAGACTTACTGAGTCAGAATCTACATTCTAACAGGGCCCCCAGACATTTACATAAACATTAACAGGGCGCTGGAAAGCACCATTTAATGGATAACTGTGTCTATGCAGTTAACTCACCATTGATCGCACTTAAATGGTTTTATGACTCCCTGAGGCTCTCCTGATCAGTATTCTCAGTTGGGGGCAACCAGTTTTTCCCCTTTGGCTATTTCCAAGCATAGCTTGCCTGTCCACTTATTTAGTTAAGATTTATATGATGTTAGAAAATGAAAATTAGGTGACTGAACTAAAAGAGATACCAATTCATATGCTTTAGAAAAACTAGAATAGACAAGGAGAACTTGCCAGATAAACATGATGAGAAATGGGTTATCTTTGATTCTCAAAAACAAACAAACTCTGTCCATCAAGGCATATATTTGCAGCAGGGAACAGTTGAGTTGGTCAAAAATGAGTTTCTTGAGCTTTTCAAATTAACACACATGTGCTGGGCCTTCCTCACAAGTAATGCCATTAATATCCAAGTACACATAAACCTGTATTATATGGGAAATTGTCCAAAATTTAAATGTTTCTAGAAAATACTGGGGAAGCCCAGTAATAATTTCACCTTGCCAGACCTTATTAAGTGATTATTATTTTCTGTATCTGTATCTAACTCAGCAATCTAAAGATTCGAACTGAAAAACTGGATCTCAAAATTATTCCTTTAATTCTTAAACAGAATTAGTTAATCCTGAACATGTATTAGACAGCTTCTTTTATAATGTTAGTATCCTATAAATGTAATTTTAAAAGTAGTAGAAGTAATAGGAGCCTGGCTGTTCTTGTTGTAAAGATTTGATGTTGCATTTATTTATTTTTTAAAAATTTATGTATTTATTTATTCATACATACATACATATAAACAAACAAACAAGCAAACTAACGAACTGTGGTAGCTGCCAGAGGTGCTGGGAAGTGAAAAGATTCACCAGAGACAGAGTAGGGAACAGAGACAGAGTAGGGAACAGAACAGGCATATTAACCAAAATACACTGCTGAGGGGACACAGCAGGCAGGTCAAGAGAGGTCGCCACGCCATGTGGGTCACCTCCCTGGCTGGGAATCAGACCCTTGTTTGCAGGAGCTGTGGCTAGGCTTCGTAGTGCAGCACTTTAACCCATGTAGCCATGTAATACTCAGTGTCTGCGCCCGGGACACACAGTTGTAGATGTTCACGGAAGTGCTCCCAAAATGTTGGGAAAGTGGAAGTGGGGCCCCTTTGAAGCCTTCAGCTCACACCTCCTTAGCTTTGAATAAGAGGTCATGAAAGTTGCTCCACACCAGAGGAATGCAATGCCCGCTGAGCCCAGGGGTTAGCTAGTGGACGGACAGTGTGTGCCCCCTTCCACCTTCCAAGTCTTCACTCCTGTTAGCAGAATCCAAATCACCCTAGAGTCCTAAAGAAATGGAGATCCCAGCCTTCCATTTTTGCTCTAGGAGAACACAAAAGGGGATGGGAACAGACAAGGTCCAGCACAGCATCAGGCTAATGACAGCAGCTTATTGCTCTTATACAGTCTGCGGTTGTTGCATTACAGGGCTGGAGGAGGCACCCCAGGATTCCCAAACCTGCCTGCTCTAAACAGTTTCCATGGCACAAAGACTGCATTTCCAGTGTGTAGATTTTCAGAGGAAAGGAACTTTAATTCATCAATATGTAATAAAGAGAGAAGGGAAAGAATAAATTAAGTAGTTTCCATGTGAAACACCCATTTATCCCTGTGTAGATAAATGCCCAGCCAAAACAGAGTTGGACCAAAGTAGGGACACTGAGACCCAAAATCTTGCCACAAGTCTAAGACACCTGGTGGGGACCCTTAAGGAGGACCCTTAAGGAATGGACAGAAAGAGCCACACCAGTCTGGGCTGAAAGGAGCAAAATGAAAATACAAGGCTTCCCTTGTCAGCCGCCTCACAGTCTCTCACCCACACCTCTGTCTCTTTCAAGTGACTCCTTCCATGTCCCTCAAGTCCCTGTACAGGCAGAGAAGCATACCTTGTGCTTGCTCCACTCAGTGTGCCTCTTCCAGGTTTCCTTCTTGATTTCCCTTCTTCCTCCAAGTCATCCCTAGCTTCTCCCAGCCCAGCTCCACCCTTCCTTAGGGTGGGGCAGGAAACCTGAGGACCACCCTGTTGCAATGGGTGTTTTTTGTTTTTTTTTTAAGATTCTTTTTTTATACGTACAAGAGCTGGGGTGTAGGCCAGAGGTGGGGGAGTAAGTGGGTGGTGTTCGTGAAAGGATTCATCAGAGACAGTGGGGAGCAGAACAGGCAGATGGACTAAAATACACTGCTGAGGGAGCAGTGGGTGAGATGGGAGAGGTCTGCTGTGCTATATGGGTCAGCTCCCTGGCCAGAGATGGAACTCGAATTGCAGTGGCTGTGGATAGCTTCCTAGTGCTGAGACTTAACCCCTTGCACCACCATGGAGCCCCTACACTTGTTTTAATATTCTCTTTTTATGGGCATTGTAAGGCAAATAAGGTGAGATTCTAGTTCTGTATGTGAAGATGGTAGTAAGTTGCTACTGATTAACACTCAAGGCAGGGGTTACTGGGGATGGCATTGTCTCCTAATCAGGACTCTCCCTTCTTTACTGCCCAGTTCTTGTATTGCTTGTTAATCAAGCATCATGAGCAGAGGGAATTTTAGGAGTGCTTTTAGAGGGAACCCTAAATTAGAAAAGGAACCCTTAGGCTTTGTTACAGGGAAGCAAATCTGTTCCAGGACAGGGAGAGGGTCACCCCTGGAGCCCCAAAAACCTGCCTGCTGTAAGTGGGTTCTGCCTTCCGCTGCAACAAGACAAAACATATAAAACTTTAATGAAGAGGGACTTTAATACAGTAAATATACAATACGGAACACAAAGAATATAACTTCTAAATCAAACACCTGAAGTTACCCATCCCCTCATGGGCAAAAGTCAACCCAAAAGGGATTGGCCCAAAGCAAGGCCTGAAAGCCTGCCACAAGACTAAAGCACCTTCTGGCCGGGACCCATGGAAAAGGGTCAGAAATGGCCAGACAAATATGGGAGGAAAAGAGCAAAATCAAAATCAAATAGAAACACTGCCATAGTCACCTCCCTAAAGGTATCTCATCCACAGATGATGCCTTAACCAGTCCAGGGTCAGGAAACAAACATGGCTTCTTCCTCACAGGTTTGCTGCTCCATGTGGCTTCCTCAGGTCTCCTCTTTATTCTCCATCCAGCTTCATTCTCTTCTCTCTCCTTTTCTCTCCTTTTTCTCTGCTCAGCTCCACCCTCCTGGGTGGGGCAGGGAACCTGGAACTTCTCTTTTTCCTAGGGACCACCCTGTTACAGCTTCACAGTTCAAGTGTTTCAGGGGTCCATGCACTGGGGGGTATATTTGTGGTAGGGGGTGCTTCCAACCTTCAGACCATTACCTTAGTTTCAGAAATCCAGCAATTCTTGTAATCACTGTAAAATGCTGCTGTGATTACTCATTCTTTCTTCCTTTTTTTCAAGCAGATGAAAAACTCAGAGAACCGGCATGCAGTGAGTTCGCAGTACAGAATGCATTCTTACTACCCGCCGCCCTCCTACCTGGGCCAGAGCGTGTCCCAGATCTTCACTTTTGAGGACGGGCCCTCCTACGCAGAAGCCAAAGCTAGTGGTAGGTGTTTGTTACACAGATTGGGGTTCTGGCAAGGAGGGTGGGTACTCAACGCTGGCCTCTGGCGCTCTAACCAGTAAGGACCTGTTGGGAAGTCTGTGGCTGTGATGCTTATATGAGTATCCTTTAAAGTTGTTGGTTATGTAATGATTTTGCTTTGCTAGATTCTTAATACCATGCTTGTCATTTGTGCATTTCTAAAGTGATGAGAATAAGAGTAGAGACTCCCATCAAAAGCTGAAAACATATTTTCTGGAGAATCAACATGAAACAGGCACTTGCAGAGTGGTTCAAGCCCTGAATTTTTTGTGAACTGAATTTCTATGTATTGAGCACTCTTTTTCTAAAACTTCCATTTAGAATTGCAGGTGTATCCATCTTTCGGGGGAGGACATAAAATAACATAATAAAACATTTTTTAATACAGTAGACCTCAGAGTTTATGCAGTAGCAATGCAAATAACTCTAACGTAATGGCTATAAAATGAAAAATGACGGTTTAATGAACCAAAGCACTTTGAAATACACAATTCCTCAACTTCAATTTTAACCTTCTCTCCAACATTTACACTGCCTTGATAGGCAGGTCCTTTATGGCTGCTGTGTTTCCAGGGCTTTTTTACAAAAACTTGAGCATCATCATTTGAACTAAGAAAGTGAGAAGCAGGTATAATCGAGGTCATAACTAGAAATCGGGGTGACAGTGAGTTTGACTTGGTAAAGAAAACAGCTACTGTTGCAAATAAGTTTCTTTTTTAAGTAACTTGACTATAGAAAACAGGTGAGGCAGGTACTTATGAGAATGAGAATCAGGCCTGTGCTTTGATTTCCAAATTTAGAAGAATGAAGTCTGAAAAACTGAGTAAGTTTTATGCTTTAATTAACATTCTAAAATAAAATAATTCCATTAATAAGGAATGTAGTTCTGTGGACCATTCCATTTGTGCTATAGACAGACTGAGATATGCCATTGTTGATTGCAATTTGACTTTAATTAATAACCACTTTTGGCAGGGACAGATAAGCAAACTGCAATTTAAATATTCATGCCATGTAATATTCAATATATGACCCTTCTTTCACACTACCTTTGATTCTATGTGTGGATCTGGATTGTAAGCTCTTACATACCTTTTTACCTGCTTTTGTCCTTTCTATATTGTTTGAGTGAATGAAAGAAAAAAACGAATAAGGTATTATTTTTAAGTGAGCTTGCTCTATAAAGACACATAAGCTGGAGGGAGGAATCCTAACTCATTGTCAGTGCACAATCTAAAGGTGAAAGCAGTTAAGGAAAAGTCTGCTTATACAGAAAATTAGGACTCAAACTTACTTTCAGAAAAAAAATTGCCTTGAGTTTCTTGCTTCAGGAATAATGGAATATTTTTAGAAGTGTTGGCATTCCTGAGACAAAGGTGTAAATTCAGAGACTGGTAGCAAGAAAAAAAGATAGGAGGAAATTTATTTGAGCAGAGAGGAACAAATTTGGAGAGGAGCAGCAGGCATCTGAATTTATGGCCGAAAAAGGAGACTCAGAGGAAAGGGGTTACAGTGCAAGAAAGCAAAGACCAGCTGCACCACTGTTCAAGGAGAAAGGCTGGATGAATAACAGCTAGAATTTCTTAAAACTTTCCTGGTAATATTTTTGTTTGAAAGTATGAGCAGCCCCCATAATTGATCATCTTTACTGTAACCCACCAGTAATTAACAGGAGGGTCAGACTTGGGATGTGCAGATATTAGCTTAGAAGAACTGCAATGGAATCTCAGTAATACCCACTTCAGAATTATCATATAAGGAGAATGGAAATTCATAGAAATTCACATCTCAGCTAATTTTTCAAAGATGTATGGCTTTATAACTTCCAACTATATGCTAATTTGGGCTTCTACATTATATGCAATTTCTATAGTGCAGATGGGAAGGGAGAGGAAAGAGGGAACTGTGTTTGGGGTTCAACAAGGACACCCCAAGTATCACATCTTAGGGAACTAGGTCCTTAATTTTATCACTATTGACACTGGGGAGTAAAGGCTGATTAATTTAACTAGTTAAATTAATCGGTTCTATCAAATTTGAGTTGAGGTCTTTTGGTTGCATTATTAAGTAAATTATGATTTGTCAGCATGTCACTTGTTCTAAGCAGGAACTTTTATATAATTTTGAAGAGTATTTTCAAAGGGTTTAATGTTTTGCTTAAAGTCTCATTTTGTTAAAGATTTGTTGATTTATGCATACAAGAACTGGGGTACAGGCCAGAGGTGGGAGGTGAGATTATTCACCAGAGAGCAGGAGCAGAACAGGCAGATGTACTGAAAAACACTGCTGAGGGGAGCAGAGGGTGGGTCAGGAGAGGACTGCCAAACCTAAAGTCTCATTTACATATAAAGTTGGCTATCAAATAATTTTTTCTTTACTTTCTTTTAAAGATAAGCTCTACCTCCCCTCAGTATCTAAATAAATAAATATGAATTCATCGGAATTCATGGAAAAATAATCACAGGGCACGTTTTCCTTTTGTCATGTCGTGACTGTTTAATTCTTTTTTGTAAAAAGGCTAGGAACTACTCTTTCCTTTCAGTGTGCTGAAAAATGTTTGGAGATAGAGCTGAGAGATGGTGGGGGCTGGATTACATAGAACTTTAGAACCCTTTGGAAGCACTCTGGGTTTCAGTTCAAGTAGATGGGAGGCCTTTGGAAGATTCTAGCAAAAGAGTGACATGTCTGCCTGTGTTTTTAGTTTCACTCTGGCTACTATAAGAATAAGAGTGTAAGGATTGAGGTTGAAGCAGGTAATATGTTGGAGTAATTCTGACGAGATAAGAGTGGCTTAGTCAGGGTGGGAATGGGTAGTGATGTCACAAGGTTGAATTTGAGGTGTATTTTGAAGGTAGAACCAGCAAGATTTGCTATGGATTTGGGATGTGAGAGAATAGGAAGCGTAAACTCCATAACTTTTGATCTGACCGACTAGAAAATTGGGATGTCCATTTATTGAGGTAGAATAATAGATCATGGGAAAAAAATAGGTTTGTGGAACTTACAAGCTCAATTTTGTAGATGCTAAATTTGAGATATTCATGAGTATTCCAGGTTCAAAGAAATGAGATGTATTAAGTGTGAAGTTAAGAGAAGATATGCCTGCTGGAAAGGAAAACGTGAGTGTTCAGGGCACAGATATTATTTGAAATGAATATGATGAGGTGCCCTGAAGAAGAATAGACAGGTAAGGTAAGAATAAAAAGCAAAAACAGTCTCTCCCTGGTGGCGCAGCGGGTTAAAGCACAGCACTGAGAATCTAAAGTTGCTTCCTCATGAGTTCGATTCCCGCCTGCCCCGGAGGTGACCACATGGCGGGGCAGACCTCTCCTGACCCGCCCGCTGCTCCCCTCAGCAGTGTACTTCGTCGATCTGCCTGTTCTTCTCCCCACTCTGTCTCTGGTGAAGCCTCTCACCGCACCTGAGCCTCTGGCCTGCACTCCAGTTTTGTATGCACAAATAAATCTTAAAAACAAAAAAACAAAGACAGAGCCCTGTGGCCCTCCAGTGCTTAGAGATCTGATCGATGGGGACTACCAGCAAAGAAGGGAGTCCTAGGATAGCCCTTATGATAGAAGGAAAACTTAAGGGTGAGTGATGTCTGGAAGTCAAGTAACAAAAGTATTTCAATGAAGAAAGGAAGAATCCACTAAATCTGAGAGACCAGATGGCACAAGGACTGAGTTTGAAAGCTAGAAACGTCAGATCCTGTGTGTCTGGTTCTTCCTTCTTTTTTAGCTCAGGGGCGAGTGGCAATCCGTTCTATGCCAACTTAGCCTTCCTTCGCAGTCAACCTCTCCTCTTTTTCCAATAGAAAGAATTATATATCTGAGGTGCTTCTTTTGTGCCATGCAATATTCATATATTACACATGTAGAATGTCAACAGCTCTGTGAGTCAAAATGGTCAAATTTTAATCACAGTGCAGATTCTACACCAGGTCAGTGAAAGGGCTTTTCTGAATTCAAGCTCTCACATCCTTTGCTAATGTTTTGGGCAGCTTGCAGGTCTATGTGTTCCCAGGCCTGGCTGTTTTGAACTCAGTCAGCATTTGAACTCAGTCAGCATTAGCACTTTTACAGACCAAGGACTCCAGAAGTTTCTGACTCACTGCTGGTATGGGCCACTTCCCCCATAATTGTCATAACTAAACAGAAAGTGGTTATTTTTTAACAGTACAGAGTGGCGGTGCTGATTGCTACACGTGAGAGCTGGGTTTTAGTAAAAGAGCATCTGACCCATTCTTCCAGTTGGCAAATAGGAACGGTGAGGTTATGCTGCCTCTTGAAAACTCCCTCAGATCTCCTCACTTTTGGTCCAGGAAGCCAAAGTGACCTTTTATGTGAGGTGACTGGGTGGGGTGGTAAATACACATCTAAGGAGCTTAATCACAGCTCACCAGCTGTGTAAGCTTGGGAGTCCTGGACTTAGCTGGGTGGCTTGGTTTCCTCATCTGTTGGAGGAGGGGGTCTAGCTGGCCCTGACTCTTACCCATAGGTGAAGTGAGAATGAAATAGTGACCATATGTAAACAAACTGGGTATATCACATAATGTAAGCAGAGACAGCAGGATACTGATAGCTTTCACCAGTCTTTTGTGTTGATGTGGCAAACAGTTTTTATCAAGTAATGATGCTCTGGAAATATTTTAGCCTTGCTCAGTCAGGAAGGAGAGCAGGCCATGGATTCATTCTGGGTTGCTTTTGTTGGGTATATTTCACTATGAATTGTATGGGAACATTTAGAAGAGAAAAACATGGACTTTTCCACCTGCTTTAAGGACAGCTGAAATGTGTTTTATGCAACATTTAGAAAATGTTGAGTTAAACTTGGCACTTTAGGAAATGACTTATCATTTGACAAATTTCAAAGAGAAGAGCACTCAGCTGGTAAACCCATTTTCCTTGTGTGACCTTTTTATTCTCAGCTTTAGCTTTGAGCAGAGAGGTAAGTGGGGCATT